CTCCCCGCCGGGCCTGGGAACAGGGCTTTCCTCGGAACATCCCAGGCTCCTGCCAAGAGGCCCCTCCCGGGAAGGCCCCGCCCTGGCCTCGGAGATGCCCTTGTGCCAGCGCGCAGAGGGGCAGAGAAGGCGGCGGGGCCTGCAGGGTGACTCAGCACGGCTCCCCTCCCAGGGAAGCGTTGGCACATCCCTGCGACAGGGAGCCCGATGCAGCCTCCCTGCCTGGGTACCTGGGTACAGTTCCCCTCTGGGAGGAAAGGGCCTCCAGGGCCGGGGTCTGGCTGGTGTGGTCACTCCAGTGCCTCACCACGGGGCACATCGTGGACATGCAGCCAAAATCTATTCAGTGAATGGAGCTCCTGAGGGCTCGACAAAACTCACTGATGCAACCGATGGGGCCACCAGGACATCAAGGGCCAGTTCGCTCCCTGCCCACCATCCCGCCTGGGCTGGGGAGTGACATGCGCCCACGTCCCTTTCCCTGCAGCTACAGGGGGCACAGGAAATGGTCTGACCAGTGAGACACAAGCAGAGGTTGCGGGCAGGTCTCTGGAAAGCTCCTTCCCCTTGGCCCTAACCCTGCCCCCTGCCTGGAGAGCAGAGGCGATGTTGGCGGTGGAGCAGCCCCGTTGTGACTGAGAGGAGGCACAGGGTGGGTGAGGCGGTCACTGAAGCCAGTGTCCTGTGGCTTTGTGGAGCTGCCAGCCCAGCCCTACGCTGCCCACTGCCTCACTCCTTATGTGAGGAACTTAAAGCTCCCCAAAAGGCCGTCCAAGGAAGTGACATGTAGCCAAGGGCTCCTTGCTGGGGTGCAGAAGGGCCCAGCCAGCCTCCCTGCCTCCTGCCACCTCCTCGCGGGTCCTTCTGCAAGGTCACTGCCGCTACTCTGCCCGGCGCCTCGGTCTCCTGCTTCCCGCACCCCCTCCCCTGCGAGGTGAGCCCTGGGGAGGCTCTGGGGCGGGACCATGCCACCCTCAGGTTATCCCAGCACCGAGCCCAGAGCCTGTTCAGAGGGGACACTCGTGTGCCTTTGGGGCATGTGCTCCTGGGCCTTCTCAGTTTCAACTTAAATAATGTCTGTGAAATCTGGTTGGAATTGCGAGTTATATGAACGTGCCACCGTCACAATGAAAGGTGGGCATCGGGGGCCCCGGGAAATCATCTCACCGACCCCAGGGCATGTGGAGCCCCCCTGGGGACCACTGGGGAACTCTGGCTCCTTCCCATTCCAGGGGCGCCATCCCACGAGAGGACACCTGCCGCGGTGACGGCCGATCCCGGTGCAGGGAGAGGCTCCCTGAGGTCCTCCCGCCTCCACCTTCTGGAACTTACCATGAAGATGATGGACACCAAGTTGGTGAAGTAGGCTGGGAACCGGTCTCTCCAGGTCAGCTTCACCTTGTCGGTCTACAACATGGAACAGCGCTGGTCACTGTGGGAGCCGTCATGGTGGGGAGGTGTGTGTGTGTGTGTGTGCATGTGTGCGTGTGCATTTGCACACGTGTATGTGCTGTGTGCGTGCATGTGCGCTGTGCATGTGTCCACGTGTGTGCTGTGCATGTGT